TGCTGGATGCGCTGCTGGTGCTGTTGGTGACGCTGCCAGTCGGCTCTCGAGAGGGGACGGGTGTCGGGGAGGATGGTGGGCACGTCGGGCCGCTGCCAGCCCCGATAGATGTGCTCGAAGGCGTGGTCAGGGTAGGTCCCCCCTACGGGTGAGTATCGTCGCACATGCTCCGTGTAGTCGATGTTCTGCGGCTCTGAGATCGCCGTAATGTTGATGTCCCGCTGGTGCGCTGGTCCATAGAGGCAGAAACTACCACGGTTGCTGCGGTCGTGGTTTAGCTCAGCTTCGGTCGTGGCACGGCTCACCATGGCGTCACAGAGTCGTATATCGTAGTCGAGAGCTTGAGGCCCAGGACCACCCTCGGCGTCCCAGTACAGTACCACATCTCGCCAGCGGGTGCGGGTCATGTGGGTGCGCTCGGCGATCAACTCGCAGACGGTCCTGACCGTGACACGATCCCTGGACATGTTGGTAATGGCTAGGGAGAAGGGTCGGCGGACCGTCTTGTTGAAGGTGAGTTCCTCCTTGAGGGCCTGATGGGGGCTGAAGAGCACATAGCCTTCCCTCCAAAGCGGTTGGTCGGGGGAAGGTTCTTCGGGCATCCCCGTTCCTGTGAATCCAGGTGGCCGCGGTGTGCCGTCAGGCAATCCCTGCCTGGGGACGCGCCGCGGCTGTGGTGGGAGGTACCATTGGCCCTGGTAGCCTGCTTGCCCTGGTTGTGGAGGTTCTCCCCCGGGGCCTGAAGGCACTCGGGGGGGTTCCTTGAGGTCGTGGAGGGCTGGCGCGTTGCCGAATTGGCGGGCAAGGATGTGCGGCGGCATCCCTGTGGCACGGACGTCGAGCTGGTTGTGTGGCCTGGGAGGGTGGGGACACCTGCTGGACAGGCAGCATGTGTCGGAGTCCCTCTTATTTGTGCTGTATGCACACGTCCAACTGTTGCACGAGTAGTCCGTGGACCAGTCCATAAGTGTACGCAGTCCGCTGCGGCCGCAGTCTGGGCACGTTGGTTGGCCCGAGGTGCCAAGCTGTGTGTTGCGGCGAGCCGCGCAATATTGGCAGCATTGGAATCGACACTGTAGGCAAGACCAGCGTCCTGGTAAAGGCGGTAGCGCATACTCGTTTGTGCCTGGGTCGTCTGGGTGGGGTCTCGGGCGATCCCACAAGGGCAGACGTCAGCAAACCAGGATTGGCCTGTAGTGCGGACTACCTCGGCGGGGGGGCGTGCGTCCTCGGCATGGCACCTGATCCACTGGGGCCCCATATCCGCTGGTACCATGACGGTGCGCCAGGAGTCGTCCCCCTTAACGTGGACTTGGGTCGGTGCCCAGAGCTTAGTAGTGGTGTCGCCGTGATCATGATGGAGGATGACCCAGCCGTCACGCCCGTCCACCGTAGGGTCAATGACGCGGTAGCCCATGACTGTCGTCCCCCACGGTAAGTAGGCGCCATCGTGGTGATCACCAGGGACGAGCCAGACCTCGATGCCAGGGGCGTTGACACGGGACCGCACATCACGCACGTGGTAGGCGAGGACGTGGTAGGCAGTCGGCTCCTCCTCCGTCACAATGTGCTCCCACGTCTCAATGCCGCTGTTGTCGGAGGTGGAGTTCCCGTCGCTCTGTTTTTTTCGTTTGGGGGGGAACGGGATAGGAGGAGGCAGATCGTCGCGCACGGGCGCGGCCTCGGGCGAGGGCGGCGGCCGCGGCTGATGAGGGACGGCGCTACGGCGTTCGGTTCGACTCCAGATGATGACGTCATGAGGGGTCTGGACTGTGGGTCTTAAGGCGTGCCTGACTTGTATGGCGTGGTGGGCCCGACGCCTGGACCAGGGCTGGAGCCGCGGGGGCGCGGACCCGTGTGCGGCGTCAGGGTGCCCCCGCGCGGGTCGGGCAGCTTTTTTTTCTTTTTTTTTTCTTTTTTTTTTTTGTTTTTATTTTTTTTTTTTTTTTTTTTTTTTTTTTTTTTTTGTTTTTTTTTTTTTTTTTTTTTTTTTTTTTTTTTTTTTTTTTTTTTTTTTTTTTTTTTCTTTTTTTTTTTGTTTTTTGCAAGCCCGTGTTACACCAGGTCGATGAGTGGTTCGGGTCCAGCTGGTGGCCGCGCTTAGTTTTACGTGGTCGAGGCTGATTAGGGTCGTCCCTGGTGGCTGCTTCCGTGTCGTAGTGCTGTTGGGCCCATGCTCGCGCCGCTTCTGGCGAGTATAGCGCCTGCGGTGGTGGCCATGCTGCCGCGATGGTTGATCTGCGCCTGGTGCTAGCTTCCTGGTCGTGAGCTTCAGCCGCCTCACGGAGATCTGGATGATCGTAGCCAGCAATGTGGAGGGCGTGCGCGCAGTCACCCATGCCATAGGCGTGTGGAAGGGCACGGCACCTGGAAGCAGCTTCTGTGGGGGCACACCAGTCCATGCGGATGAGGAGGCTCAGGACCCGAGGGTAAATGAGGCGCGCTCCGTGAGCCTCCCCTTTCACGTAGTTGTGCCTGTTTTCCCCGCGCGGTGGTTGGGTGGCTTCGCACATCCAGAGTGCGATGGGTCCCCACGCGAGGGTGTCGTCTTCGAGACTATAGGGCGGGTGGGGCGGTATCGCGTACCACGCGGCCAGCGAAGGGTGCACACTCGTGTAAGTGCGGCCAACGTTTGGGCCAGTTCGGCCCTTCGCTTCACGGCGGGGGCCTGGCAAGAGGTGCCCTCCACAGGCAGCGAGACGGGCCGCAAGGTCGCCGCGGGTCCCATGCCAGAAAACAGTGGGCGCGTCGGTGGTGGGTTGACGGAGGTCCCACGTGAGGTATGGGAAAATTGTCTCGCCCGAGTTGCCGCCCGAGTCCTCCAGCACCCAAGTGAGGCGGTTCGGTGGCCTCTGCATGATGTCAGTCCACGGCCCCAGCACTTGGAGTGTTGGGTCGTGCGTGAATCGAGGATGGTCATGGAGTCGTAGAGCGTCTTTGATGTCCTCAGTGGA